ATTATTTTAATGTGGGTAGTGAAAGCAACCAAATATTTTATATTCTATTATTATTGTTAATGATGTTTTATTTTCTTACATAAAAACTTGTTAAAAAATAAAAAATTTTACAACTAAATATCAGTTTGTTTTCTCGCTGTGTATTTATAAAAACAGAAAAGTTTAGCAAAAACATTTGAAAAACTAATTTAAAAATTGTCTGTATTTTTAGTGCAAATAATTATATATTTCCTTCCCAGCCGGCACAGCTCAGAAAATAGTTACGCTTGGTTTCTGTTGCGCTTTTAAAACCTAAAACAAAAAGAATAACATGTGTCAAAAATGGTTTTTATTTTGTGAAATTAACGATTACTATACCTCCACTTAAAATATTAATGGTTTCACCGTTATGGAAACGTAGTATTATAATCAAATTTAAATGTTGCATGCAACATTTAAATTTGACTTTAAAACCTAAAAAAACACGTGTTAAACCTGAGTAAAACTGCCCGTAATATACATGTGTTTTTGGTTTATGCCTGGATCGTGACAAACACGTATCTATACAGGTTTTAATTCCGAAAAAGAAACTAGATGTGCCGGTAGGGTTAAATATAAAGTATTTCTTTACTGACTGACAAAAGTCACAAATAAATTCTATATCAAGTTTTTATTTTCGTTATATTCTTATGTGCTTTTTTTCTTGACTTATATCAATTTTGGAATTAGAAAATAACAAACACCCTAAAAAAAGAAAACAAAAAAAATATTAAGATACATTATTTTTTTCAAAATATTTTTCTTTTTTAAATTTTAAATTTTTTTTTAGTTAATTTTATTTAGATTTTCTAGTTTGTTAAGTATTCATTTCGTTTCTTAAAGTATTGCTGTTTTATTCTCTGTTGTTTCAGATAGCTTTTTTTTGCTGTAAATTTTAAAAACATTTTCTATACAAAATAGTGGTCAAATTGTCTAATAATTACTTTAAATGAGGACGAACTAGGTGTACAACTGATCATGCTTCCCGGGAGGCAGGCCCTATGAGATAGGGATGCAGTTGGTATGCCACACCAGGGCCCATAAGAGTTTAGGGGTCCATAAATTATGTATGTGTATATATATATATATATATATATATATATATATATATATATATATATATATATAAATATATATATGTAGTGATGTTATTTTGTGCATATACTATCAAGAAAGTGCTTGATGAACTGTTAGAGCTATAATATATATATATATATATATATATATATATATATATATATATATATATATATATATATATATATATATATATATATATATATGTATACATATATATATATATATATATATATATATATATATATATATATATATATATACACATACATAATTAATATATATATATATATATTAATATATATATATATATATATATATATATATATATATATATATATATATATATATATATATATATATATATATATATATATATATATATTAGAAAATAAAACTATGTGATTCTCACAACTTTTCACAAGTTTCATGCTGTTGCAATCATCAGGTGAAATACGAATATAGTTTGTTTGTTTAAAAAATTATAAACAATTAAAACTATACAGTAAAAACCTATACAGAAAAAACTTTTTTTTATAGTTACGACTGCGTGTATCTAATCTTCAGGTTTGTGGTACCACATATACCACAAACCTGAAGGTTTGTGGTACCAAAATACCACAAACCTGAAGATTAGATACACGCGGTCATAACAAAAAAAAAAAGTTTTTTCTGTATAGTTTCAATTGTATATAATTTTTTAAACGAACAAACTATATTTGTATTTCACCTGATGATTGCAACAGCATGAAACTTAAAGTTGTGAAAATCACGTAATTTTATTTTTTACTGTATACATACATATATATATATATATATATATATATATATATATATATATATATATATATATATATATATATATATATATATATATGTGTGTATATACATATATATATACATATATATATATATATATATATATATATATATATATATATATATATATATATATATATATATATGTGTATATATATATATATGTATATATATATATATATATATATATATATATATATATATATATATATATATATATACCCTTATAGTGTAGTCGAAAGAGCGTTTTAATGTAAAAAAAGTCTCTTACGACTACAATTTTAATTACCTCGTCTCTTAAGCTGTTTTTGATTGTCATCGAAATGTCAAAGCAATTAATTTATGCGGAAGTACATTAAATTTAATTGTTTTTTAAAAATTTTTTAAAAAACGGCAATTATAACGACTAGAAAGTTTTTTTTAATTAGTTGTGTTTTTGTTATTGATTTAATAAAAAACATTTTTAAAACATGCGTAAATGTTGCTACATCGACTATCTTATAGCCTGACTCGCAACGGAGTGCTGCTACATCGACTGACAAATAGCCTGACTCGCAACGGAGTGCTGCTACATCGACTGACAAATAGCCTGACTCGCAAGGGAATGCTGCTACATCGACTGACAAATAGCCTGACTCGCAAGGGAGTGCTGCTACATCGACTGACAAATAGCCTGACTCGCAAGAGAGTGCTGCTACATCGACTGAGGGTTTGGTTTGGCCAGGCAGTCTATCAATTAAAAAAAAAAATTTAATTTTCAAATTTTTAAAACTTTTTCTGGTCTGGTTTATTAACGCGCTCTTTAAAACTACAGTTTATGGGAAACTTTTTTTGATGCCACGCAAGAGACATGCAAGAGTATATATATATATATATATATATATATATATATATATATATATATATATATATATATATATATATATATATATTTAAATTTTAACAATTTTTTTTTGTTGTATGTGATTTACGTAAAAGGTTTTGATGGTTTGAATTCTGATTATTACTGATAGGAAAGCTAATAATAGAAATTATGGTAAACAGTAAGTTACTAAAAGAAAAAAAGATATTACACTTCAATTATAAAACTTGTTATTGGTTAGTCTTCTTTTATGCTATGTTAACTCTCTAAAGCAATGTTAAATTGTATTGAAAAACAACTTTATAAAATATGGGAATTTAAAGTGAAAAAAAATAAATATAAATATTTTACTTATTTTCTTTAATTTATATATTTCTTTAACTTAAATCTTAGATTTTAAATAATGTTATTAACAATGATTCATCGATTTAATACGCAATATTTAATTATTTTATTTTCAATCTTTTTGAGTTTTTTTTCTTTTAACAATTTCTTACTTAGTTGGTTTTTTAAGTTTTTAATTAATGCAAATTAAAAAAAATATAAACATATTTTTAAATTTATTAATAGAAAAAAAATTTAGTATATATTTTTTTAGATTTGTTAAATTGATATTTTTAAAATTCTGCGTACAATAAATATTCAAATCCATAAATCAGGAGCACAAAAAAAAAAAAAAAAAAAAAAAAAAAGAAATTTATATACAATTAAAAAAAAAGGAATACAGACACTCTTTCAATTAGGTATAAAAAATAATGAATTGAATTAGATATAATTAGATTAAATTGCAACTAGTCAAAAAAAAATAAAGCTTTTTACAAAAAATTTCACAGTTTTAGCAAAATTTAGCAGCCAGAGCAGGTTTAACACCATTTAAAATATATTTTTGGACTTCTTCTAAATGAGAGGTTGCCTCATTAGAAGAACCAACTTAAATATGACAACAGTATTCCATTCAAATGTTATTATTATTAAAGTAAAAAAAGGACAAATCAGTAATACAAGGACAAATCAGAGATTTAAAGTGGTAGAGAATGGAATCCAGAGTAATAAAATAGCAAGTGTAATAAAGACACAAACTAAGCATATATTAATTTTAAAAATGGTCTTCATGAGAGGTCAATAGTGGAACAGATTATCTTCCTAGAAGTTTTTCTAAGAAGGACTTAATGTGTGAGATTAAAGAGTATTTTTATTCATCACTATAGAAATATGTTGCAATAATTTTTAGCAGTATATAACTATATTTTTTTTTGCTTAAAATTCACCAAGTTGTTACAGTCTCTAAAGATAAAATCATCCAGTGACACACCAAGAGTTGCTAAAAATGAATGAAAATTGTGTCAATCAAGACAATGAACAATCAAGGTCAATGCTAAAAATGTATTAATCAAGGACAACTTTCATTCTGCTGTTAGATGAAACAATAATTTTGAAAACTTTTCCAGACAAAACATATAAAAAGAGATTATGGATTAGACTAGCATGACAGACCTTATCAAAAACAAGATTATAGATTAGACTAGCATGACAGACCTTATATTTATGTCAATCAATTTTCACCTCAATCATAAGAATTTTTTATGCTTATTAATTTTATAGACTTAAAATGAGTTATAAAAGTTGTGCATTGAAAAATTCAGAAAATTATCACCTTAAAACTATAAATGACAACTTAAGAAATGACAACTTAAGAAATGACAACTTAAGAAATGACAACTTAAGAAATGACAACTTAAGAAATGACAACTAGACAAAGTATATTTTTGAGATTAAAAATCAACAAAAAAAAGATCATTCTTCTTTCTTTAAAAGATAAAGCTTACCATTCAGAATACTCTAAAACATTGTATGTAATAAACTTTTATATACTTTTATGCTTTTAAGTTTTTTTTTTTTTAATTTTACTTATGATAAGTTGTATTTTTAATCAGCTTTAAAACAGTATTTATAAATGATTAATACCACTTGAATAACAATAATAAAAAGCATAGAAAGATGTATTTTAGGTTTAATAGTTGGGCATATTTATATTTATATATGTTATATCCCACAATAATATTTTTGATATGTTTTTCAATAATATACTTGATATAAAAAGGATATTTTTCTATTAATTTAAATGAAGATTTTTCTAGAGACTAAAAGCACCTCAAAAAAAAAAAAAAAATTGTGCAAATCATTTTACTTTATTTTATGCTTCATGTTTTAATTATATTTAAAGAAATTTGGAAGAAAGAATACTTGTGTGGAACCAATGGTAATCAATGCCCTAAAAACACATCTTGTAAGCGGTACTGGCCAGGACCTAATAGTGGTGCTATAAGTTTTGATAATTTTATCATCAGCTGTATAACTGTATTTGTTTGTATTACATGTGAGGGATGGTCTAACATAATGCACAAGGTAAAGTAATCATAAAAAGTATTGTTTTAAGTTTTTGTTTATTTTTTTTTCATTTTTGCAAGTTATATAACGCACATTATATAGTTATCTTATTTTGCTATTTATTCTTTTCTTTTTTTGTTATTATTTGCTTTTTGTTCAATAACATATTACATTTTTGTAAACAAAAGCATATTAATAAAACTTTTTTTTTCAATCTTTTTACATTTTTTATTTAAAATTTGTTTGCAAAAATGTTTTAGTAATAGAATAAAAAACTTTCTCTTGTAAATAATCTTTGAATTTATGTTCTTTTCAATAATATCATTAAAAATATAGTTTATTGTGTATAATTATAAATTTATAAATATCACAAAAATCACAACTATTACAATAACAATAGTAAATAAAATAGTATTTAAGTATATGATAATATATTAATATATTATTTATGATTAAAATTATAACATAATAAGTTTATAACAATAAAAAATTAATACACATCTATTTAATACTATGTCATGGTTCTTTATGCACAGAATGTCATGAAAACAAATAAATACAAATTTAATAATATAAATTAAAATAGTAGCTTTTAATGAAGTAGTTTTTTTTTCCTTCATAAAAAGGCATTGGTTTAGCTTTTTATAATTTTATTTTAACCATTTTAAATCTAAAGTTTATACTGTTTATATGCTAGTATTATATAAAATATGTAAAATGGTTAAAACAAAAATATATATATAAAACTAAATCGATGTCTTTTTTATGAAAAAACTAAAAAAATTGTAAACAACTATTTCCTTCAAGGAAATATCTTATTTTAGTTATATCTTAATTTATAAATATAAATATAAATCTTAATTTTAAATATTTTATTTTATCTTTCATGCGGTTCTGCTCATAAAGAATCATGACGTACTATTAAATAAACTCGTATGAAGTTATCGGAACTGTAAATGCATGAATTGTTTAAACATTTAATATTAACACAAAAGTTTTTTTAATAGACTTTTGAAGTTGCTGATAATTTGGGAAAGTATTTTTGGATATATTATTACACATTAGAAATTATTGGAGCTTTCATTATAATGAACTTAGTACGTGGAGTGTTAAGTGGGTAAGTAATTGTATAATAATGTTAAATATAGTAATAAGTAATTGTATAATAATGTTAAATATAGTAATAAGTAATTGTATAATAATGTTAAATATATGTTACATAGCAGTTATTAATAATAACTATGAAATAAACAGTTATAAAGGTTTTTAAAGTTATTGTGAAAATATAGAAGTTTAAGTTTTTTATTCTAAAATAAATAGGCTTTATGTATTTTTCATGTTCTGCTCTATTAAAATTAATCATTATATCCTTATTTTTAGTTTATACATTTAGTACTACAATGTTTGTTTTTTTTAATTTAAATTTCCTTTTTCAATTAAGACTTCATTAACTTTCTTAAAAGTACTCTAAAATTAGGCAAACATAAATATCGTAGTATAGGACATAAGTACAATATGTTCCACCAATAGTTACAGTAGTTTTTTTTTTTTTTAATGTCTCAGTAGTTTGTTGCAGTGGTTTGTTCTTGTAATTTGTTTCAGTAATTTATTCCAGAAATATTTTGCTTTAGTTTTGTTCCTGTAATTTGTTGCAGTAGTTTGTTTGCTGTAATTTGTTGTAGTAATTTATTCCAACAATTTATTACAGCAGTTTTGTTCCTGTAATTTGTTGCAGTAGTTTGTCTCAGTAATTTATACTAGTATTTTGTTGCATTAGTTTGTTCCTGTAATTTGTTTCAGTAATTTATTCCATTATTTTTTTACAGTAATTTGTTCCAGTAATTTGTTGCATTAGTTTGTTCCAGTCATTTATTGCAATAATTTATTTCAGTTATTTGTTGCAGTAGTTTGTTCCTGTAATTTGTTGCAGTAGTTTGTTCCAGTTATTTTTTGCAGTTATTTATTTCAGTAATTTGCTGCAGTAGTTTGTTTCAGTCATTTGTTTCAGTAATTTATTCCAACAATTTATTACAGTAGTTTTGTTCCTGTAATTTGTTGCAGTAGTTTGTTCCAGTCATTTTTTGCAGTTATTTATTTCAGTAGTTTGCTGCAGTAGTTTGTTTCAGTCATTTGTTTCAGTAATTCATTCCAACAATTTATTACAGTAGTTTTGTTCCTGTAATTTGTTGCAGTAGTTTGTTCCAGTCATTTTTTGCAGTTATTTATTTCAGTAGTTTGCTGCAGTAGTTTGTTCCAGTCATTTTTTGCAGTTATTTATTTCAGTAGTTTGCTGCAGTAGTTTGTTCCAGTCATTTTTTGCAGTTATTTTATTAAATTAAGTAATGCGTTGCATTAAATTCATGTTAGGATGTTAAGATCAATATATTGGTACTTGTAACTTTTCTAATAAAAAACTTTGAATTAAAATGCCCTTGAGGTTTAGAGCTTTTGGTTGATTAAAATAATATTTATATTTTTAATATTTTTTGCCAAGTTAGTACTTTTGAAAAATAATACTTTCTGTTATTTTCTAACAAGGTGCAGTTCTTTAACTCAGTTGAATGGTTAACCCATTCGCTGTGAAATCAGGTTTGAATTTTCTGACTAATCTTTTGACATAAAGATACATCTCAATCATACATCTAGCAGACATTTAAAAACCAACCAGACCAAATATTGATACATATTTAAGAATAATCAATAATATACACACATATACATAGTTACATATATTTTAAATGTTTTAAATGAGTAATGAGCAATCTTATGGATTGTGGAAAATTTTTTTTTATGAATAAAGTTTTTGTCTAACAAATTCTTACCAACAGATGTGTTGCATTATTTATGTTTGATATTTCTAATTTACTTTTTAGTGGTTTTAGTAAACAAAGGTCTCGAATTTCAAATCGCAATTTTTTATTATCAAAAATAGAATCAAAAATTAAACAAATATCTGTCAAATATGTTAATTGGATTGACGAAGCTGAAAAAGTTTTAGCAAACGAAGCTGAAAAGAAATGTAAATTAAATTTTAATTTTTAAGAAATGTAAATTTATTTTATTTTGCTTTGATAATTTTTTGCATATAACATTACTTTTGTTTAATTTAGTAGAAAAAAAAAGAAGGAATATAAGGTACTATGATTACTTTTCTTTTATTTAAATTTTTCACTAAAATGATAAAATGCAGAACAGACTTCTGTTCCTGTGAAGGCATTTTTTAAATAAAAAACATTTCGAATTTATTTATATAATCTATTTATATATAATTATATATTTATATAATCTATTGTTGTATACCGAATATATTTATATAATCTATAGTTGTATTAATATATATTAGTTGGGTTTATTTCCTAAAAAATATTAATCCTTTTTTTCTATTATAATAAATAAAATGAAATGTTTTGTTTTAACTTAATCATGCTGTTTAAACATGTATATGCTACTTTTTATTAGGGATGTACCGAAGCTTCGGCTTCGGCTTCGGCGTGCCGAAGCTTCGGCAATTTTGCCGAAGCTTCGGTTTGGCCGAAGCCAGGTCAATTTTTTGCCGAATCTTTGGCTTCGGCAAAAAATTTTAAGTAATTAAAGTTATAAGCTACTGTGGGACAAGTTATAAAAATAAGCTAATTGCCAGTGTCTAATAAAGTTATAAATTTAGGACTACAGAGTTAAAGTTGGAGTCTATACCATATACTTAGTATTATTTACTCCCAAGTGTCTTGTTATGGAGGGGATAATAATAAATAAGTGAAAATATTTTGAAAAAAATAATAAAATTAGGGAAGGTCCTCATACACTTTGAAAGATTCCAAGTGTGACTTTAGATGAACTGAAGCAGGATATCTATGCAGAATAAAAACCTTAAAATTTAAAACAAATTAAAAGTTTTTAAAACTCTAATTTGTATTATGTAACGAATTCATATTTATTATTGTGTGGAATTACCGAAAATAGAACAAAATTTGGTTTCAATATTTGACCGATAAACCTTCGTAATCTCTCTTTATAGAAGATTAAAGATATGTTGCTACTATTTTAAATTGTGTGTAAATTTACAAATTTTCATCGTAAATTTACAGAAATTGGTTAGGTGTCACTTATATAGATACAAAATAGTCAATGGAGTGACACATAAAAAACAAAAAGTTCTCAACAACAAAAAAGGAAGAAAAGCAAATGAAATATAAACGAGGAGAATAAAAAAAGAAAAAAAAAGCCAACAAAAACTAGATAAATTAAAAGAAAAAGAAAAACAATGATATAACTAAATAGAATTTATATATTAAACATGTAAACCAATATTCTGGTTTCTTCTTATGATATTATGAAGACTTTTAAATTTTATTTAAAATAAATTAAAGGTTGAAGCTTTGATTACTTTGAGCTCTTATATTTATCATCAAAATTTATTTAAATTAAATAAACAATTTAAATCAAATAAATATCAGCCTGCTCAGTCCCTGTTTATTTATAAATATAAAGTAAATAATAATATAATTATAAATAAAAAATTAATTAAGTATTCTATTTATTATTTTATTTAAAGCTCACTCTACAGAGTTGTTAGATTACTATGGAAGGTTTTATCACAGATAGTTAATATTTCGCGAGGTTAGAATTATTTTGTTCTATCTCCACATTTTTTTTGTGTCGAGATAAAACGATTTAAAAAATAAAAACTTTAGGAAACGGCATATAAAAAGATTTTTATTACTTATGTTTTCTCCGAAACTTTTTTGATTTTAACTTAGGTTTTAATATAGTAGAAAAAAAATTATTTTGAGGTACATTACACAATTAATAACTCATTTTTTTCAAAAAGTGGAGATAGAACAAAATAATTCTAATCTCGCCATTTGATTTCAGATACTGATGCAGATTTATGTAAAAGATTTATGTATGTAAAAGATTAAAAAAAGCTATAGAAAATGTTATGTAGTGTAAAGTTAAAAATAATCAAAAAAAAAATACTTAAAAGTGTGTAAAAAAGAAGTTAGAGAGAAATCTATCATTTGTACTTTTTTTTAGCAGCAGGTTCACAACAGTTGTAGGGGAATCGAAAATGGTCTTAACTTGGGCTTTTTTAGTTTAGAAATTGTTCGTTTAAAGAATACAGAGAAGTAAAAAAAAGATATTGAAATAAATAGCAATAAAAAGATAAAGTGTGTTTTTAAGATTTTTTAGGTTGTAAATACAACTAGATCAGCTAAGAGTGTTTATTTAAAGAAAGAGTGATTGAGTGCAAAAGATAAATTTACTCAAGTAATGTTCAGAGATTTTTATCCACTTCTATTAACAAAAGGTGCATTAAAAATAGAAAATAAAATATACAGCACATGAAAAGATGCTATATAACATTAATATGGTTTGCACACAGAAAAAGTAGAACTAGAAGTAGAAAAATTTTGGGAAAATGTTTCAAAAAAGCTTAAGTTTTAAAAAAAAACGCTTGGTGCGGTCAAGTATCAGAAACGATATAATGAGAAACTTTTAAACAGGGGCGTTGAGAGTTTTTGCTCTGCCTGGAACAGCAACCCTGACTGGCATCCTAATTTTTATACGATTTTTCTATATTATTAGTCAAGGACCTTAGTTTTGGTACCTTTTTTGTTTTACACCCCTGCTGATCTGAATGCTGATTAAATTTTAAGCATATATAGTGCCGAAGCTTCGGCTTCGGCCGAAGCTTCGGCTTCGGCAAAGTGGCTTCGGCCGAAGCTTCGGCTTCGGCAAAATTTCAGCTTCGGTACATCCCTACTTTTTATCTAATTTTTTTAAATTTAAAATCACATCCACAAACCACTAGAATTGATTTCCATGTTTGATTATCTGTTTTTCTTCTAAAATATTTTCTACTGAAGTATAATACTTTGATCTGTTTTTTTATTTTTTTTCTTATCAGTGTTAGATTTGACATGCTTTATTACTTTTTATATCATATCTAATGGAGCTAATGCAACTTTTTTTATTTTTAATAAATTCTTAGAATCTTATGTTATTATACACTCATAAGTATAAGCAACAACATTTTGCATGTACTTTAAAGTACATGCAAGTTGTTTATGTAAGATGTTTAGCTTTCAAATGAGTAGTTTCTTCTCTTCTTAGGAGCAGCCTATATATTTCAGTATCCTATTTTGTGAATAAAGTTGAATCAAAACTATTTAATATACAACTAAATGTTTTTACAAAATTCTTTTAAAGTATAGAATAGTCATTTACAAAAATTCATAAAAGATTGTCTAATAATAAAAATACTAAAAAAAGTTAGGGTTAAGCAGAAAATTTCTGCTAAGCAGCTTTATATCTCTTCTACATCTAATAAAGTCTTATTGATTCCACTCATGGTATTAAAGCTTTTTTATAGTTTTATGGTTCTTTTGCTGACTGGTAATAATTCTTGAACCCTATGTTCAAATTTATTTTAGGAATACTTTAACAATAAAATTACTGTTGACTATGATTTCTTTATAAGGTTTTTCTTTTTAAAATAAATCTATTTATTCTGAACCTCTGTTCGTTTTTCCTTGTTTTTATTACTTTTTTTTTTATTACTTATCCTCCTTTGTATGATAAGTTTTTCAATAGAAATGTTTCATATTTCTGTTTGGGCTTTCAGTCCAGTGTAATCTAAAATTCTCCTAAAACTCCTGAAGAAGGTATTTAGTTTCATCCAATTCCATCAACAGCTGTAAAAAACACGAGGAAAACTGTAAAGATTAACAGTGTTCCATGTGTTTTTTGTTTAAGAGTTTAGGGTTGAGAAAAATTTAAAAATTACCAAAATTCAACTAAAATACAAATAAATAAAAAATGGGTTTCTTCTACTGGCCTCGACTGGAGACTTAAAAAGGTAAGTTAAAAAAATATAAGATAAAAATAAAGAAATAAATAATGTATTCCTGTTATTGCTTTTAGTGTGCATTGTCTAGACCACACCTGGAGACCTTTAATACAACTTTTGGTTGATTAACAAGAATGATCACATAATTTATTGCTTAGGGCATTATACACTATAAATAAATGACTAAATCAAGGCCTCTAATTATTAACCCCTTTCCTGTGAAGTTTTTTTTTAACTTTTGCTCATTGTGAAGTTTTTTTTTCAATTTTTGTTTTGTTTTATTTATTATACATTTTTTAAATAATTTTTGTTAACCTAAGTAACATATTATGATTAAAAAGTATGATTTCAGGCATAGAGTTTTTTATAGTTTTTTTTTTCAAAATACATTTTTTATAAATTTTTTTATCTAAATAAAATAAAATGAACAAAAAATTTATGTATCGAATTGTCGGTAGTGTGGTAGATTTGGAAGCATGGTGCTGCACGCAAACTGACATCACAGTCAGTACACTGAATGCGTACACTTTTGCAAATTTTATGTGCAGAACAAACAGCACAAACTTGTTGAGCATTTCTTTTTTTCTCTGTGGTAGATACATAACTTGGAAAGTGTATAGCAATAATTCACAAAGGATCACCTTCAAAAGATGTCAGGCAACGGGTACAAACTTGTTTCTCTGGCATATGATATTCCTCAATCAGACGCTCTATGAGTTTCAAACAAAACTGAACATGATTGAGTTTGTTATTTTGGTTGTTCTTATACAGCACATAATAGCTCACCTTGTTTGTAAGATGGCGAAATAACTTTTTATAACAAACTTTGTTTTTTTTTCCAGCTGTATATGATGTCAACATTTGGTCCAATACATCAACAGCATTCATGTTGGCATTGTAATCACAGTTGACCACCGGTTTTACTCTAGTGCCTCAATGAATAACAACATCTTGAACTGCAGTGGTATGATAAGTTGATATCGTTGTAGTATCTTTTTTTTTTGTGCTATTTCAAAAACATCAGTTTTCTGCAACACCTTGAAATTATTTCACCATGTGATATATATATTTTTAATGATAAATCCACAATTAGATGTTTTTGGTTCAAATGAACAGTTCCAACTGCATCAGCTTGGTTTTGTATAATTTCTCTGAACAGTGACAAAAATGTGTAGAAGTTATTCATGAACACTGTATAACCTTTTCCAAGAAGATCGTGCAGTAATATCAAGACGATTCTGGAAGTCTTCAGTTTATCCTTAGATGCTTGCAAAGCATTGCAGGT